CAGATTGAGAGGGGTGTTTGTACTTCATGTGTTGACTGAGGAATTTCTGACTGGAGAAGGCCATAGGGCAGGAGGGACATGGATGAATCTCTGGCTTTGCTTCTCCTGGAAGAGAAAGTTTTTAGTCAGTTGATGTAGATACGGTTACCAAGCAGTCTGCGTTGTCTTGTGGAGATCTCCCCAAGTCATTCACAATATGTCTCCAACACAGGATCTGTGTCCACATGAGTCCTGCTTTATAGGCCTAAATGTCACTCCATTTTTATTCATTGCAGCAATCTGGAAACCCACATCAAGGGTCTTCTCAACAATGCGGCCATAATAGGGACCTTCTAGTAGTAACTGGAGGGATCCTCACTGTTGACCTAGCTAAAACTGCAGTGGCCTTTCCCACCTTCCATAGGCATCTTCTAAGCCCTGTCACTATGACGGTGTTGGTGGTGATGTGCCGTGGAGTCGGTTCCGAATCATAGTGACCCTATATAGGGTTTCTGAGGCTGTAGATCTTTACAGGAGCAGAAAGCCTCATGTTTCTCTCATGGAACCGGCTGGTTTCAACTGCGCAGTGGTTATAAGTCGGACTGCTAACCTCAAGGTCAGCATTTCGAAACTACCAGCCATTCCATGGAGAAAGATGAGGCTTTCTGCTCCCATAAAGAGAACCAGCCTCTGAAACCCTGTACAGGGTCTCTGTGAGTCAGAACAGACTCCATGGTACATCACCACCAACACCACCACTTTGTCGTACTGTGGTGACTTGCGTGTTGCTATGATCCCAGCAGGGTATACCTATAATGGACAGCTTCCAGACTAAGACAGACCAGGAGGAAGGAGAAGTGGACTATTTCTGAATGTTTTAGCCACTGAAAACCTTATGAATATGGAGTCAGCAGCTATTCCTTTTTCCTGAGAATGATGCTCATGATGACTTAGGTGGGAACCTCCCTAGTGGCCTTTCCTGTGAGTGGGAGGGGCCCACTGAATCACTGGACCTCAACCCAGGGGATTCCACATGGAAAGGCAGTGTGGAGCAATGATTAGAGAGTGTGTGGATGAAGACATTGCCTGGTTGTCTCTTAGGAAGTGAGACTCAGGGGTCGACAAGACAGGGTTGGCCCAGGCCCACTGACTACAGGACACTGGGTCCTGCTGACTCATATCTCTCCTGTTCTCCAGAAATTTACAGAGTGAAAGGCTGTGTCCTTCCTGTTCATACCCAAGTTACTTCAATCAGCCTTCCTCTAGCTGGAATACGATTGAAAGTTCTGTTTCAAATGATATCTCATTCAGACAACTCCCACCTGTGTCCACCACCCTCTCACCTTGGCACTGAAGTAGCCCCCAAGTGGATGCCCAACCACATCTTGATTCCAAAGACTAACCAAAGCCTCATCTCAGCACAGAGCACATGACATCATCCCCAGTGGCTTTTATCACACTCAAGACAAACCCACTTTTGTGGTGTGAACCTCAGGCCCCATCCGCTCTCTTGGGGCCTGCTGGCTGGTTCTTCAAACCCCCTGGTTCTTTCCTGCCTTGGCTAACTGCACACGTTGCTCCTTCATCGAGTCCTCTGCCCACCGGCATTTGTATGTCTCAGTGCATCTTCTTGTGAAGACTTTGGGTGGAATCCCGAGTCTTCTGCATCACTATCCTCCAGTGCACTGAGATCTGTGCAGTCCTGTGTGACACATAAGTGTGCATGTCCAGAGTCTGCTGTGACACGTGTGTGTATGTTCACTAGTGTGACACCGTGTGCATATAGAGGTATGTGTATGTTTACTGTCTGTTGTGTGACACATAAGTGTGCATGTCCAGAGTCTGCTGTGAGACGTGTGTGTATGTTCACTAGTGTGGCACTGTATGCATATATAGAGGTCTGTGTACATTTACTGTCTGGTGTGACGTGAGCCTGCTCAGGATGTGAAGTGTGTGTGCATGCCCGCTGTCTGCTGTGACACATGCATGTGTCTATAGTCTGTATTTTGACGCTGTGTTTCCGTCACGTCACCTGCTCCAGAGCAGTCATTCTGATGCCTTGATTAATCTGTATTTCCAATTTCTAGACTCTGTGTAGCACAGAGCAGCACTCACCTGACAATTCACTGAACTAGTGAATGAATAAATGACAACATATGAATATTTTTAGAAATATAGAGATTACGAAGAGCTAAAGGGGCCACAAGAACATCCCTGGTGGGAGCTGGCCTGTGCCTGAGAATTGTTTTTCCCGCTAGCACTCATGTGCTATATATAATACATTTTGTGCCTAAACTAGTAAGGCATAAAATCAGAACAAAAATTTTAAAGTTATTAAAGTTGTTCCAAAGTAAAAGACATATGGAACGAATCCTCAATTTCAGAAGCTCCTGATTTGATTCTCACTAAGTTTCAGTGGACCCTACTGAACTTATCGACTGGCCACAAATATTTGCAAGAACGGTTTCTGGCTCCCACCTGTCCCTGGAGTGAGCTCCTTTTTCCAGTTGCTGCCCCACTTGATGCCTAGTTCCTGGCCGTACTCGTCTCCATACCAAACCAGCAGCTCACAGCCCGGGCGGACGGTGCGACAGGTGCGGTAGTAGATCTGCCTGTGGTACTGAAAGGCCACCAGGTTCTGCTCCTCTTCATCCCGGGCACAGTTCACATACCTGAGGTTGACAGGATGGGAGAGAATGTGAATGCCTTGATGGTCAGGTCCTGCTCCTGCTCCCTCCTGATGTTCCAGCCCAGATGCTGCCCCCGCCCTCACTGCTTCTCAAAGAAACCTCCTATCCCTGCCTCAACCTTATCTACGATGTCATGTGAATTTCTCTTCCCAAGCCCGGTTTATGGGATTAACCTGCGAGGGCCCTCCTCTCTGCCCTACTTAACCATGTTCCAAAGCCCACGTCTAGACTTACCTCCACATTGATTGGCCATGAATATGAGCTGCATCTCTAAACTCCAAAATAATTTGTATTTAATGCCACAAACCACTTGGTGATGTGCTTTATGTATTTATGATCAATAACTGCATGCCGTTTAACACTCAGCTCAAGCCTTGATGCCTCTGAGATCCCTTTCTCCAGTTCTCCCACACGTAACCTAAATACTATGCACACCTATAGGGTTCCCACAGAATCATGGAGGTCTCCTTGTCTTAGTTCATACTCATTCTGTACCCCAATAGACAGATCTCATAGGAGAGGGGCTGAATCATGAGCCACCCCCTGCAGGCTTCCAAGCACTCTTTAATCTCACTGGGCTGAGGACATTCCAGATCTCCCAGATTATAGTTGCCTTGTTTAGGTTAGGTAGGCACTATGTGGTTCTGGAGAAATATGAAAATCATAGTTACATATTCCTACAACACCCTGTTTAATGTCTGTCTCCACTAAGTCCCTTAGTCCCTCCATAAGGACATGGGCCTGAACATTGTAAGTGAGACAAGCACAGAATCAGTATGGATGAGAGAGATGAGGTGTGAGTCAGTGTCTGTGAGCTGAGCATCCTTAGTGTGTCCCTGTGGTCTTGTCTGGTACAGGTTACACATACAGGACACAGGTTCTACATACAGGACACAGGTTCTACATACAGGACACAGGTTCTACATACAGGACATGGGTTACACATACAGGACATGGGTTCTACACACAGGACACAGGTTATGCATACAGGACACAGGTTACACACACAGGACACAGGTTCTACACACAGGACACAGGTTACACCTACAGGACACGGGTTACACATACAGGACATGGGTTATACATACAGGACACAGTTTATACATACAGGACACAGGTTATACATACAGGACACGGGTTACACATACAGGACACGGGTTCTACATACAGGACACGAGTTACACATACAGGACACGGGTTACACATGCAGGACACAGGTTACACATACAGGACACAGGTTACACTTACAGGACACAGGTTATACATACAGGATACAGGTTACACATAGGACACAGGTTATACATATAGGACACAGGTTATACATACAGGACACAGGTTACACATACAGGACACAGGTTATACATACAGGACACAGGCTACACATGCAGGACACGGGTTACACATGCAGGACACGGGTTACACATACAGGACACGGGTTACACATACAGGACAC